GGGTTGGTGGTGGGGTGGCAGGGACCAATGAAATGAAAGACAGTGAGCATTTTGAGCCATGCTGACCTCGTGCTCGCCCTCAATAATTATCCCCCTCTCTCTCCTCTCTTGTCATTTCTTCGAACGTTTTATCACCCCGCGCCGCGAAAACCACGGCTTTTGGGTGGTTGTTAAGGCGGGTGCTCTGGTGTGGTTTGCTCCTTCTTTCCTATCAAACATCTATCGTCCTGATCTCGCCTCCTTCTTTCTTATGTTTGTTACTCTCTTGTAACACCTCTAATCTTCGGCTCTTATATTACCTTACTGTGTTGCAAGTGCCGTAAAACTCTTACTAAAACTAAAACAAAAAAACCACGGCTGCAGCAAAAGAAGAGGCAGGCGTACACTTAGCTCATGTATACGAAAAAAACCCACCCCAAAAAACTATACGCATTTGATATTCGAATCGATCTAGCATGAATATTGACCTCGCGCCTTGAAGCTTCGACGAAGTTTTTTTTTTCTCCAACTCGCACAGCACTAGCAAATGGGAGGACAAAACGAAACGATGGCATCTACATCTTGACAGCTGACAGACCGACAGACCGAAAAACCCAGGATCAAAAAGCATCGCGGCGTAGCGGAAAAAAAATCATTACTCCGGCGTCAATTTTCCGCGACGTACGAGTATATTCTTAACGTGGCATATTATAATTATTCTCTGCGCCTTGGGATACAAAATTGTAATTATATAGTAAGCGGTTTTCCCAGCGGTGCTTGTTTTTCAAAAGTTGCGGCGCCATGCGGGTTGAAACAGGCCCCATGAAAAGCGGCCTTTATGCTGGTGTCCATAAGAGCAGGTTCTTTTTATTTTTTAATTTTTAATTAATTGATTGATTTATTTATCTACTTATTTATTTTTGGTTAGAGTGTTACGGCGCCCTCAACTGCATAAGGTCATATGAACGCACAGAACACAATCATATAACATTTTCAGTTGTTAAGAAATTTTGAATTTTGCCCGGGTTGCGGCCGAAGTCTACTTTTATCGATTTTGGACCGCTAAAGGGTCTTTAACTTGGGCAACTTGCACACGGTACATCCGAGATTTTTCGCCTATGTCCGAGAAGGCTAGGTGTAGATCTTTCCTACCATAAGATCAGAGATGTAGCTGAAAGACAGCGGTGAGAAGGAACCGAAGAGAAGCAGTAGAAAGGCTGTAGAAAAAGTCAGGAGCCCAGAGGATGGGGCAAAGGAGGTGAGGCGGTGGGGGCAGAAAGTGGAGACGAAAGCCGACGACTGAACATTGCTTGAGAGCAACAGGAAAGGAGGTGAAAGGAGACAATTTAGCCTAAAGAAGAACAATTTCCGTCGCTCTCTGTATTTGTAGGCACTTCAGTGAACGCGCTCACTATAGCGTCATTTGGCTTCGGAAAGTCCCATAGGGTTTTGTTTCCGGACATGACGTCTCATCGCGACAGTGGGTTCAAACTGCTCATATTTTTGTTTAATTTAGGGGACCAACATTCAAGTCCGATACATGTCTTTAAAGACC